AGGGGAGCAAACATATTAAGAACAGTATGCCATATACGCCAGGTCCCTTGAAACATATGCTGTGCAGAAGTTTCTTCTCTGCAGCGACTGTGTCAAGCAGCAAGGATGGACCGGCTCCCGGCACCTCCCTTCCTTCCTTCCTTCCTTCCTTCCTTCCTTTTGAAAAGAAATTATATTTGTTTCTATCACCATCAATCTCATCAGAAACGTTTTTAAGTATTGGGAGATGATTGCTCTTGCTGTTGTGAATACAGGTTTTCTGAATGTTCTCATTGGCTAACAAATACTACCAGTTGTTTTCCTTAAAGTGACAGGTTCATCTTGTTCGTTTTTGAGAAAATATCTGCCAAATACTCAAGTCTGAATAACCATAGTTTGTCAGTTGTTTTAAGTAAAAATGGTATTTCATGAAAAAAGCAACCATGTGAGTCAGCTCACAATGCAAACTATCATACACATGTTTTTCCACAAAATAACCATTCTTCTTCACTATTTAGTGGAAGTGCTTTATGTGTACAATTCCCATTTCATCATACAGAGTATTAAGAGGTGAACTCTGGTTGAAATGTGATAAAATTATTTTTATGCTTCATCAAGGACCTAAGTAAAATTGACATTTGTTTTTTACTGCCAGCATATGGCACTTAAGGATACCCTGATGACTAGCACAGTTTGCTGTACTGCCTTCATTAGCGCTGAGACACCAGTAGTTTTACAAACCACCATTGCTTTTGCACCATCAATGCGATGTCAACACAGTGAAAAAGGCAAATAACATTTTAGTGTTATTATGAAAATAGTTTCAACTTTGCAGTTCTTCTGGAGTTCATGGAACACTTTGAGAACAACTGTTCTAAAGCATGATATTATGGCAGCATTGTATCCTGTCCAGGGCCTATATCAGAATTTGACCAGTTCTCTCATTCTATTTATTTTTTGCTTTCATCACAATTTTTGTAGCTAAGTTTTTGTGAAAATTTGTTTTTTCCCCCCCTTAGAGTAAAATCTTAAAAATGGGATTCTGGGTCAAAGGATATGAATGTCTTTTTATATTTATAAAATACATGTGATATTTGCCCTCCAAGGTGGTTGAACAAACTAATTTGTACTTGTGTCAGTTCATGGTTATTGCTGAACATCATTTAATCTTTGCCAATTCAATCAGCATGTGAAAAATTGTATCATTTAAAAAATTGTTATTGCTCAGTTCTCATATAACCTTGATTGTTAGTGAGTCTGAATGCTTTTTATCTTAGTTTTGGCCATTTTTGTAGTCTTTCTTTAGGCTGATTACATCACAACGGATTAGATTGCAACTTTCTTACTATAGTCACACTCTCCTATGTGCATAGTTACCCTATTTGCATTTGGGTGTGTTATCAAATCTCAGCCTTAAATTTAGAGGTCCTCCCTTAAGGAGCTGTAGTTATAATAAAGGCTCCTGATAGCTTCTAAATTTCAGAAGTTTGAGCCCTACCTTTTTTACTTTTGTCATATGTAAAGGAAGGGTATCATCTGTGGTGTTACTTAAAAATTTTTAGTTGACTTCTCTTAAAACAATGCTTGAAGGCCTGAGTGGTGTGGCTCAGTGGTTGAACATCAATCTATAAACCAGGAGGTCACAATTTGATTCCCGGTCAGGGCACATGCCCAGGTTGCAGGCTTGATCCCCAGTGGGGGGCATGCAGGAGGCAGCCGATCAATGGTTCTCTCTCATTATTGATATTTCTATCTCTTTCTTCCTCTCCTATCCTCTCCGAAATCAATAAAATCATGTTTTTAAAATTTTTTATTAAAGAATAGTTGGCAAATAATATGCAGGGATTCAACAGTAGACTAGAGGATCCCAAGAATCAAGTCAATGATTTGAAATATGAGGAAGCAAAAAACACCCAACCAGAAGAGCAAAAAGAAAAAAGAATCCAAAAATACGAAGATAGTGTAAGGAGTCTCTGGGACAACTTCAAGCATACCAACATCCAAATTATGGGGGTGCCAGAAGAAGAGAGAGAGCAAGATATTGAAAACCTATTTGAAGAAATAATGACAGAAAACTTCCCCTACCTGGTGAAAGAAATAGACTTACAAGTCCAGGAAGCTCAGAGAACCCTTAACAAGAGGAATCCAAAGAGGACCACACCAAGACACATCATAATTAAAATGCCAAGAGCAAAAGACAAAGAGAGAACCTTAACAGCAGCAAGAAAACAACAGTTAGTTACCTACAAGGGAATGTCCATATGACTATCAGCTGATTTCTCAACAGAAACTATGCAGGCCAGAAGGGAGTAGCAAGAAATATTCAAAGTGATGAATAGCAAGAACCTACAACCAAGAATACTCTACCCAGCAAAGCTATAATTTAGAATTGAAGGTCAGATAAAGAGCTTTACAGACAAGAAAAAGCTAAAGGAGTCATCATCACCAAACCAATATTATATGAAATGCTGAAGGATATTCTTTAAGAAGAGAAAGAAGAATAAAAAGGTAAAGATAAAAAATTATGAACAACAAAGTGTCAACAAATACTTATCTATCAACAAGTGAATCTAAAAATCAAATGAATAAAAATTCTGATGAACAGAATAAACTGGTGAATTGAATAGAATCGGGCATGGAAATGGAACAGACTGATGATTCTCAGAGGGAAGAGGGTGTGGGGGGTATGGGAAGAGATTAGACAAAGAGCTTATACGCATGTATGCAGTACCTATGAACACAGACAATAAGGTTGTTAGGGCCTGGGGTGGGGTGGGAATCGGGTGGAGGGGAGCTATAGGGGGAAAAAAGAGGGACATCTGTAATCTCAACAATAAAGATTAATGTAAATAAAGAGTATTAAGGAAAATTGCTACTCATAAGAGATAACCTCTGTTAATTATTTTGGATCTGTCCTTCCATGTATAAATTTGGTATATTTTTGTTTTATTAAAATATATCATGCTAGCCCTAACCGGTTTGGCTCAGTGGATAGAGCGTCGGCCTGCAGACTCAAGGGTCCCGGGTTCGATTCCGGTCAAGGGCATGTACCTTGGTTGCAGGCACATCCCCAGTAAGGGGGTGTGCAGGAGGCAGCTGATCAATGTTTCTCTCTCATTGATGTTTCTAACTCTCTATCCCTCTCCCTTCCTCTCTGCAAAAAATCAATAAAATATATATTTTTAAAAAATAAAATAAAATATATCATATGCTATTCATATTCTTATGCTACCTAAAACAAGAGTATGAAAGATTAGGACAAAGTCATGGATGATACTTAAAGAGAAACTAGGATGTTTTTAGGAGTGTGTATTCCTCATATGTACATACTAGGCTAAGGGCTTTTATAAATATACTAGAGGCCCTCTCCTAATCCGGGACCCCTCCAGGGATGTCGGAGAATCGGTTTCAGCCTGATCCCTGCAGGCCAGGCTGAGGGACCCCACCGGTGCACGAATTCGTCAGTCTGTTCCATGTTTCCATGCCTGTGCATATAAGATATTTGGTTAATCTCTTCCCGCCCTCTCCCCTCCCCTCTTCCCTCAGAGAATCATCAGTCTGTTCCATGTTTCTATGCCTGTGGTTTCCGCGCCTGCGTTGAGCATCTGCCCCCTGGTGGTCAGTGCACGTCATAGCTACCAGCCAGCCAGCCGGTTTTAATGGTCGCTTAGGCTTTTATAGACATACTAGAGGCCCGATCCACGAAATTTGTGCACATTAAAAGGGAATTAATTAGAGGAAATATTTTTTTAAAAAATATATTTTATTGATTTTTTACAGAGAGGAAGGGAGAGGGATAGAGAGTTAGAAACATCGATGAGAGAGAAACATCGATCAGCTGCCTCCTACTCACCCTACACTGGGGATGTGCCCACAACCAAGGTACATGCCCCTGACCGGAATCGAACCCGGGACCCTTCAGTCCACAGGCCGACGCTCTATCCACTAAGCCAAACCGGTCATGGCAGGAAATATTTTAATATTGCTATTTTGTTTCCATCTCTCCATCCCAGTCTCTGTCTCTCTTGGTTTTTCTCAGCAGCCCTCCAGGCCTCCCTGCCTCCCTCTCTCTCTCTTCCTCTTTCCCGGCTGGGAGGGGGCAGGGCCAGTGGGGGCAGCTCCACCCTCTGCCCGCCCTGGGGCCTCATTCTGAGAGAGGCTCTGAGAGCGAGCTGGGAGGGAGGGAAAGAAAGGGAGAAAAGACTGTGAGCTGGTGGGCGCTGTGTGTGTCTGTGCATGTGTGCAGTTGTGAGTGAGTGTGAGTGCCTGCCCTGCCTCCCCCGGCTCCGTCCCCACTGCCACAAGTCCCTACTCACCGGAGCCTGTTGCACACGCAGCCTAGGTGTTCAGTTGAGCCTTTGGTCATTGTGGATGTTACGGACCCTGGCTCTTTATATAGATAGACTAGGGGCCCAGTGCACGAATTCGTGCACTTTGAAAGGAACTGTGGGCCGCAAGCCTGCAGTGGACACAGGGGCAGATCTCGGCCCATCCTCTGTGCCCCCACCTGGCCCCTCCCACTGCAGCCCCCGGCCCCTGTCAGCT